TTAGTAACTCTTTTTGTTCTGAAGGTTTGTAGCGTAAAATAGATTTTTGCTTTACAGAATTACTAGAATCTTGATGGATATTAGAGCAATCATCTATAAAATCATTTAAATTATCAGTTTTTTCTACGTAATTATTGACAAAGTTATTTTATTATTTATAATTATAGATTTTAAATACTAAAAACTTCAAATAATATCTTACCAAGATCATCGATATGAGATCTTTTATTATGATGTTTGGAAGAAGATTCTTCTGTATCATGCATAAAAGAAGATTCTCATATGTCTCAAGTATCATCTACGTTTTGATTTCTAGAACTCTTACTATAAGTCGTAATAAAAGAACTTCGATCTTGATTACTATCAACACTTCGATTTCTACTATAAGTTGTAACAGGAAAACTTAAAGAATCTTAAGTATTTTCTTGTATAGTATTGGTTACTTGATTTGCATTTGCAGCAGGTAAAATTCTTTGATTATTGGTTTGACGAGTTGTAACAGCTGAGATATCATTTTAAATATATTGAATTCGATTTACATTTGAAGTTTTAAGTGAATCTTGATCACGGATTTTAACAAATGAATCTTGATTACGAATTTTAACAGGAAAACCTCAATTACAAGTTTCATCGAAAGATTCCTGAATATCTTTATCTTGATCAACGTCTATGTGATCTTTGTAATCATAGTCTTTGTAAACATCATCTTCGTGATTCTCAGATTATTTTATAGATCTTGTAGTTTGACGAGTCATACCACCTCGAGCATGACTAGTAGTCACATTATTCCTAGAACTTGTAGATCAACGGGTCGTAACACCTCTAGCTTGACTATTATTAGGTCTCTTGGTTCTTTCTCAAGGCATTCTTAATTAACAAAGATTAAACGATTTAATTATCGAAATTTATATTTACGTTTTTTTAAAAAAAACTTGAACAAGGAAAAAAAAAATCAATCATTTTTATACTTAAATTTCAATTACATAATATTGTACAATTAAATTCAACAATTAATGGGAATGTTCATGTTAATTAAAATGATA